CCCCTGGGCAGAGCGCCGTGGCATTACAGCTCACAGCAACCTCCAACTCCTGGGCTCAAGCGAGTCTCCTGCCTCCGCCTCCCAAGTAGCCGGGACCACAGGCGCCGGCCACAACGCCCGGCTATTTCTTGGTTGCAGCCGTCATTGTTGTTTGGCGGGTCTGGGCTGGAAATTCGAACCCGCCACCTTAGGTGTACGTGGCTGGCGCCTTAGCCGGTTGAGCTATAGGCGCCCAGCCGCACTTAAGGATTTCATGTGGGAGGCAAGATTACAAGATAGCAGTTTGTGTTTCCGGTAGTAGAAAAGTACTGGGAACAAAACTGAATTGGAATTACTAAACACTTAATTCCATATATGGAAACAAATATATGGAAACAAGAATGAATGCATTAAACTATGTAAATTCATTGCTTATCTTTAATCTTTATTTGCACCACTACATTTTATGCAGTTGCAACCTTCTGTATATATTTTGCACTTTTTTTCCCCCCAATCACTTGCTGTTTTGCTATCCAGGTAAGAATTTCCAATGTCAGACCTTAGCCATTTCCCTTTGATTAGACTTCCCCCCTTTTCCAATTTTTGGTGCTTGGATAATATGCTACGAATAACATTTTCTTTATTCAGTTCATACCATTGAAAGACTTCCCCAGAGTGAACAAGTTTATAGTTTTTCTTGTACTGCTAGATTTTGCACTCCACTGACACGTTCGTTAACTTTGTACACTGCCTTCCTCCTTTTTCAGCTCTCCTAATAAGGAGTTTAAGTAATTTTCTGTGTACTCCACAGAGTAGCCTAAGTAGAACTGCCTCAAAGTTGAGCACAAAGAACTCAATAAATATTAATGGGTTAATTTTTATTTACCTGTAGGCTTGACTTTCCTCTTCTCCAGATTTCCCCCTAGTCTATTCTTTTCAACATTCAGTCTCTTAAACCGGCAATTTCAGGTTAGTCAATTTTGGATAGAGATTCCTTTTTGTGTCCTTTAAATCTTATTACCCAGGCAGATCCCTGTTCAGGAACCTGACTGGCCTTTCCGCTGTATGAGGAAGCCCAAGTCACAGCAGTTACCGCCACTGGCGCTTACACCTAGGTGCTACTTCGGGAAGATGATTTACTCGGACAGATTTTGACGATAACATAAGTGGCACGTGTTTCTGCCTGTACACAATTCGACGCTGTGTGAGTCGCAGAAATTCAGGAAAGGACAAACGACACCTGTGGATTGTTCTGCATCGCCCAAACACACAGGGAACACTGGATTTATCCTCTCGGGCCCGACGGTCAGCACAGGTGCGAAGCCCGCTCAGGAAGGACGCATCGGCTGGCCACGCAGAGCCACGGCGGTGCTGGAGAAAGTCAGCGCTCCTGACCCTGAAGCGCGGACGCCGGGTCTCGGTGGGCTGTCGGTGGCTCCCGCGCTGAGGCGCCCCGGGGCACGCCGACGGCGCGGGGCGTGGCCGTGGGAGGGGGCGGGACCGACTGCACGTCACCACTGACGTAGGCGCGGGACCGGGCTGCCGCCGCCGCTGCCGCCGAACTGGGGGGCCCGGGACCAGGGTGCCGGGGATGAGTGCCAAGATGGCCGCTCCGGCTCGGGCTGGTGAGTGTTCGTGCTGGGCGCGCGCGGCGAGGCGGTTGGCGGAGTCAGGCTCCCGGCAGGAGCGGACGTCCGACGGGAGCCCCCGGGGCCGGGCGGCACCTGGCGGCGTTTTCCCGCCGCGCAGGACGCTGGGGTGCCCTGAGGGAGGCAGGGGGGCTGCTGACTGACGGATGCGATCGAGCTGAGGGGCGCGTGGCGGCGGCGGGTCCGGCGAATTTAGAATTGGAGCCTCTGGGAAGTTTCGGTGGGTCGTGCGATGCTCCTGCTAGTGCCCTGGCGACCACCTTACGAGTGTCCGGAGATGCTGCGAGAAGCCGCGTCTTCTGTGTCCGAGGGCACCGGGCTGCAGGGGAACGAGCTGTGGGGAGAAGGGATGAGGGTGGGGTGGCGGATGCGGAGGGGAGCTGTGCCCTGACCTGGGCTGCAGCGACGCGGGTTGTGCGCAGAGTAGAGCAGGCAAAGTCAGACCGCATCCTCTCTGGGGCTCTACTTGCTGCCGAGTGATGCTCGAAGCCCCTGGGGCGCTTCTGTTTCTGGGTTTAGGAGAAAGGTTCTTCTCGGGTTCCCGCGCTGTTAGCACCTGCTGCCACTTAAAAGGTTCCAGTTTTTGGATATCAGCTTCCTAAAAGCATTCCCGCCGACCCTCGAGGGGAAAGGAATGGCAATAGGCAGAATTCGTTTGGGAGGGCATAAGAAACGGGGGGAAAAAATGACTGCTCAGGTTAGACACCCCCATAAAAAAGAAAGTGAAACATAGTAATCGTTTGAGCTGCACGTTTGAGTTGCTTAAATTATATTGATAGCTGGATACTTTCTTGCAGTTTTAATATTAGAAGTAAAAACAAAAACCACTTATTAGTTGTCGGGAGATTCACTCTTTGCTCTCCACACACCCCCTCCCTTTTTAAACCTTAATTGTCATATGAAGGCTAGTAACGGCGTTGTGAAATTAGCATGGAAATAAGACCTTCGGGCCCTGCGCTTGAATTCCTTATTTGCTGATAAGTGACTGGCTGCCTGTGGGGTAAAAATAGGGGTGATAACTTTGGGGCCTGAAATTCCATTTTGAGTTGTGCAAAAGCAGGATTTGGTGTAAACAAGGAAAAAGAATTGGGTGATCACTGCGATCAAATTCAGAAAGCCAAACGGGAGTTCAGCACATATTCGTAGAATATGTCAGAATCTTAATGAGATTCAACATTCAGTTGTTTTGAAAGAGATGAAACTTTGTATTCTTGGAACTCTAATCTTTTTATTCTTAGTTGAACATCTCAGGGGATTTGATAGTTTTGTTAAACATTTTAAAAGTACATTCAGATTTTCTCTTTCCACTCAGATTTCTCTAGCTTTTTGTGTATGAGCCATTAATTAGGCAATGGATGTTAGAACTTTCGATCTAGTATTTGTCACTGTGGATTATCCCATTTGAAATTTGATAATTCTGATTAAACAAATAATTCGATGAGTAGTTTAGAAAGTTGAGATGTTTGGCTACTTAATCAGTCTTGTTTTTGTTCCAAAACTGTCGTTTGATTTGGAAAAACTAATTTATAGTCTTAAGTATATGCTTGTTAGAACAAATCATGGATACACTAGAATGATAGTCTAGGCATTTTATACATAGTATATGAAATCAGTTTATTAGACTAGTAGTAGAATGCTCATTTTTTTCTGAATGTTTCCCCCATTGTTAAGAAGTTAGCTGCCTGTAGGTCTATGTATAAATATGTTGGTGTGACACTAACGATAAATATTTTGGAAACAATTGCGCATAAATTACTTGTTAAGTAGGGATGGAGGTAAGGAATTCAAATAACCTGGAGGCAGAATTTGCTTTCCAGGAGCTTTGTCTTACTACATCTTCAACTAGATCCAGTCTCTGATTCAGAAGAGGCACGTTAGAGAAGTGAGGAAGGCCCAGGGAAAAAGTGTATCCTTTATTGTTTAATGAGGAGTTTCAAGCAAGATCAGGGTAATTATAGATTCTAGATCTCTAAAGGAAGAAAGAATAACCAGGGCCTTTCTTAGGATAAAGGAAAGGAAATACATCATGATTGACATGGAGAGGTGCCAAAGCACATAATAGACATAATAGCATACCTAAGAGAGAGTAGGGAGAGTTTGAGAGCCCATTGTGTTCATTCGTTCAATAACTTGTTCATTCAGAAATATTGAACGCCTTTCTGTGTACCAAGCAGTATGCTTGACCCTTGCCATTTTACAACCATCTCTTAAGACGGGGAACTATGGTGGTTCTGTGAAGTAAATGGAAAATTGAAAACTGCTTGTGTGAGTGGATAGGGTTTACCCTAATTACTACAAACTATGGATAAAGCTGTTTTCATTCTTAATCCAAATGTATTTGTGTGGTTAGTAATTCCTAAGACCTACTTCCTACTGAAATTACCATTTCCTTCTATCTTTTATTATGGAAAATAACAAATCTTCCTACTTTTAATAGCCTTTCGAGACTGTTCAGGTGAATATAACTGTTAAATGAAAAATGTTTTGTTACAAAAATATCTTCATTAAAGATTCAGCATAAGTCTGCTTTAATATCCGTTCTTCAGGATTTTCTTCAATGAGATAAAAATTACTGTGACACAATTTAATTTTTAAATTTATCCTATTTTATGTCCAGCGGTACTTATGTTTTCTTCTTTAATTGAAAGAGAATGTAAAGTGTAAAATGTGCGTGCCCACTTCCCACAAAACAGTTCGCATTCATATAAAAACATTTTAACAAAAGATGTTTAGAAAGTGGCTAGTCATAGATGAAGAGTAGAAAAGCATACATTGTGCAGCAATTTGAAGGATTTTTTTTTTTTTTTCTTTTGAGACAGAGTCTCATGTTGTTGCCCTAGGTAGAGTGCCTTTTGAAGGCTTTTATAATGCCATGCTAAGGAAATTAGATGTATCTTTCGATCTTTCAAACTTTAAACAATTTTAGGTAGAGGTTCTCAACCTTCCTAATGCTGCGACCCTTTAATGCTGTTCCTCATGTTGTGGTGACAACACAGTTGCTACTTTATAACCGTAATTTTGCTAATGTTATGAGTTGTAATGTAAATATCTGATATGCAGGATGTATTTTCATTGTTACAAAGGGGTCACAACCCACAGGTTGAGAACCACTGATATAGAAGAAGCAGCCAGTTCTATGAAGGCAAGATGTATAGGTAACCTGAATTCCAGGTGTGCCAGAGACTGGTTCAAAAAGGTTAGGGCTAAGAATATAGTGTCTGTAAGAATATAGTGTCTGTCATAGGCAACTGCCTAGAACTGGTAACTGAACCTCTGCTGGAACCTTTGTAGGATGAGTTCACTATGAGAAGAGGTTTGAAGAGCTATTATAATAGATCAGAAATGTTATTTTACTGTATACTTAAACCCTGGGTTGTATATTACAAAGGACTGTAATTTGAGTATATGAAAATTAATTTCAGAGAGTCCTCATTTTGTGGTAAGTAAAAGCAGTTTTATGCTGTCCAACTGTAAAAAGTCAAATATTTTGTCTATGCTCTTATTTGATTTTGCATGGTAGTATAATCTTTGATTAAAAATGTCTTATAAGGGCTCGGCACCTGTGGCTCAAGTGGCTAAGGTGCCAGCCACATACACCTAAGGTGGCGGGGTCAAATCCAGCCCAGGCCTGCCGAACAACAATAATGGCTGCAACCAAAAAATAGCCGGGCATTGTGGCTGGCGCCTGTGGTCCCGGCTACTTGAGAGGCTGAGGCAGGAGACTCGCTTGAGCCCAGGAGTTGGAGGTTGCTATGAGCTGTGATGCCATGGCACTCTACCCAGGGGGATAGCTTGAGGCTCTGTCCAAAAAAAAAAAAAAAAGCCTTATAAGATCTTCTATTTCTTTTCTAGTCATTTAGCTTTCTATTTTATAAGTGCTTTAATATACTAATTCTATATAATAGTTTTCAATAAGTCACATATGGTTATTTTCTTAAACTTTAGAGATTTGCTGAAGGGAATTTAAAAAATGCATTATTGGTCATGTATGAAAAGTCTGAATAGCTTGAATGGTTTTCTTTGAACAAGTCAAAAATTTTTCCAGCCTAGGCCCACCAAACAACAGTGACGGCTGCAACCAAACAAGTCAAAAAATTTTATTGTCTTTCAGCACATTTTAGAAGAATGACAAGAAGCTTTTAGAATATTTGTAAAAACATCTGTCTTTAAAATATAGCCTACTTGGTTTAAAAAAAAGCCATCTCATAGCTACTAATTTAAATTTCAAGTGTAGAAACATTTTTAAGTGTATGAGAATAATCAGATAATTTTAATCCTTACTGAATTTCATTCAAAACATCTTAATTTGTATGATGCTGTTAGGTAGGTATAAGTAATAGTTTATCAAAATCTGCATGGGGGATGTATTAATAAAAATGTTTTGTTGTACAATATCTCTTTAAAATGGATATATGATTCAATCTGCTGCAGCCCAACAGTTAGTACACAGCTTCACAGCAGTGGATTAGCAAATGAAAAGAAGTGCTCTCAGCCCACTAGAGGAAAATGGGAAGTGTCAAGAAAATACATCCTCCTTCCTTGTCTTCCTAGCTTTTAGATCTTTGTGTGATGAGGCCCTTTTGGAGATATCCTAGTAACTGCTCTGAGCTTCGGCTCCAGGCAGGAGAGCAAACTAGGGATCTCTGGGGCAGCAGGCTGGATCTCTATCTCCTGCTTTCCTCCTAGCCCTTCCCTTGGCCATCCACCCCCTACTGGTTTCTTTCACAAGTAGATAGGATAAGTGGGCCCCCTGCCCTAAAATATTAATCTCATGATCTGTTGTCATTCTACCATTCTGGTTTCAAATCTTTCTCTTTTTAAAAGACTTTATCTTTAAGAGACCCCCTTCTAAAATGCTAATACCCCTGGGAGAGGTCAGACCTTAGCTAACATCTTGATTATCAGTTAGCACGTTAGTTGGGCTTAGTACACATTTGGCTGAGAAGGAACCCCACCCCCGCCCCACTTAAAGTATTCAACTGGAAGGAAACTGGCATCTATAACAGCTTATTATTTTATTGTTATTGGTAGCTGAGATGTACTGGGGCCATGTTATTGTCAGGAATCGTTCTAATTCCCTCAGTCATCCTATTGATGTTATCACTACTGTTATTTTACAGATGAGAAAACTGAATTATGTACAGCATAAATTATCAGTCTATGGTCACGTAGTAAATATAGCCAAGTATAAAACCTCAGGCATTTGGATTCCGATGTATACTCTCTAGCCATTTTGCTGTGATACCTCTTCTCTGTTGTAACATCTCTCAGAAATGACATTTTTCATGGAATAAAATTATGTGTTTAAGAGTAGTTGTCTCTTCCTGTTGAATGTTAAGGACCTTGCTATCTAAATAGACTTTGTGTTTATTTATTTTTAATTAATTTTTTTCTTTTTTGAGACAGAGTCTCACTATGTTACCCTTGGTAGAGTGCCATGACGTCACAGCTCATAGCAACCTCAAACTCTTGGGCTCAAGCAGTTCTCTTGCTTCAGCCTTCCAAGTAACTGGGACTACAGGTGCCCATACCGGTGCCCACCACAAGCCCGGCTATTTTTTATTTTTTTTTTTTTGCAGTTGTCATTTAGCTGGCCCAGGCTGGGTTCGAATGTGCCAGCTTCAGTGCATGTGGCCAGCACCATAACTACTGTGCTGCAGGCAGGGAGCCTAAATAGGCTTTTTAGTAACAACTACGGTGAAATAGACAAATTCTTTGTATGTAGGTCACTACAAAAGTTTTGAGACAGGCTGTGTTATATAATCCATTATTTTACTTCTAAGAAACACACTAAACAGCATCTTTTCTAATTCACTTGTACAAGTTTATTTTTTATGTTTGTGTTTCTTTTCTTTTTTTTTTTTTTTTTTTTTGAGACAGAGTCTCACTTTGTTGCCCTTGGCAGAGTGCTATGGTGTCATAGCTCACAGCACCCTCAAACTCTTGGGTTTAAATGATCCATTTGTTGAGCTATAGGTGCCCACCACAATGCCTAGCTATTTATAGAAACAAGGTCTGGCTCTTGCTCAAGCTGATCTCAAACACTTGAGCTCAGGCAATCCACCTGCCTCAGCCTCCCAGAGTGCTAGGATTATAGGTGTGAGCCACTGTGCCCAGCCTTTGACTAGATTTTAGACCTCAGATTTTTTTTTTTTTTTTTTTTTTTGAGACAGAGTCTCACTTTATTGCCCTTGGTAGAGTGCCATGGCGTCACACAGCTCACAGCAACCTCCAACTCCTGGGCTTAGGCTATTCTCTTGCCTCAGTCTCCCGAGTAGCTGGGACTACAAGCGTTTGCCACAACGCCCAGCTATTTTTTTGTTGCAGTTTGGCCAGGGCTGGGTTTGAACCCACCACCCTCAGTATATAGGGCCGGTGCCCTACTCACTGAGCCACAGGTGCCGCCCTGGACCTCAGAAAATTTTGAAGAAAGAGAAGTAAATTTAAGCTGTGCACATGAAATGAAGTTGTGTCTCTTAGTACCTGCTGCCTAAAAGTTAAGGGATCAAGGCCATGGCTCACACCTATAATCCTAGCACTCTGGGAAGCTGAGGCCGTGGATTGCCTGAGCTCAGGAGTTCAAGACCAGCCTGAGCAAAAGGGAGACATCATCTCTAAAAATAGCCAGGTGTTAGTGGGCGCCTATAGTCCCAGGTACTGGGGAGGCTGAGGCAAGAGAATCACTTGAGCCCAAGAGTTGGAGGTTGCTATGAGCTATGTCACCATGGCACTCTACCAGGAGGAGACTAAGTGAGACTCTGTCTCAAAAAATAAATAAAAAAGGTTAAGGGGCAAAGGGTTCTGATTACTGGATTTTACAGAGATGGGTTCCTACAAACCCATTACATTTGCAGTTTTTTAGGCCCTGGCAGTGACACCTGCAGATACCATTGAAATTCATAGTCTTTCTAAAAATTTAAAGCATCAGTCATGATCCATGCAGTGTTTTCAGTGTCGTATAACTAGGGTCTCATCTGTACCCTGAATTAATGTTAAAGGAATTTTAAAAATGTTCTGTGGTCACTACTTTTTAAGTAGATTTCAGTTCATTATTAAGTACCAGTAGCAAAAGTGTTCCTCACTTTAAATGATAAAGGAGCAAGTTCTGGGTCAAGTCATATAGGTCTTTTCTGGTTTGTTTAGAATTAGCTTTTAATTTCAGATATAGTTAGGCCTCATTGTATAGCATATTCTTACCTTTTTTTTTCTTTCTTTTTTTCTTTTTGGCATCTGTGTCATGTATATTCATGAGAATAGTCAAACACAAAAGCACATTCTTCTTACTATCTCCCTAAAGCAAACTGCCAAGGCTCTCAAGTCTGAATATGTTACAGAGCCATGAAGTAGAGGTAATTATTGATTTACTAAATGGAAAGCCAACTTCAAGATTGGTTTAAATAAATATTAAGATTTGTTCACTATAGCTGCCATTTATTGAGCATTTACCATGTGTCAGATAAATATTTTATCTCAATCCTTCAATTCGGCTGAAATTGGTATACTTTTTCTTTTATAGATGAAGATTATAGACATTAAAACATGCTTAAAAGCATACATATATCTAACTATATGGCAAAAGTGGAATTCAAACCTAAGTTTTTCAGCCTCAAAACCTAAACTTTATGACTCTCCTTTAGGAATTCTACATAGGGCTCAGAATGTTTGTAAATATTAGATATATTTGGGTCTTGCCAAAGGAATACAGTTTTGAAAACGTCCCTCAGACTATTGGGTAAAAAGAATAGATCTTATGGTGTTACCGTGAAAAAAATGATCACTACCCATCTGTTACCACTAGAATGGTAGAAGAAAATTAAAAGCAAAAGTTTTTAAATGTCCCTCACTAGAGAAAGTAAAGTGTACCCCTTTAGAGCAAGGCAAAGGGAAGAGATTAAGGAAGTCTAGAGCCAGAGAAAAGTGAAAACTGCCAATGTTATTATGACAAGTAGCTTAGAAACTGGGAGCAGATGAAGCAAATTTATATTATTCTTGGGAAAATACATATAAAAAAGAAAAATATTGGGTTCTTGTTTATATTTTATTAAAATTTGACATTGTTCTGCTTAGTTTTCAGATACTTCAAGTATTGTGAACAGAGACTGATTTGGATTATGTGTTTCTCAGCTAGACTAAATAAATGTTAACAATGGATAAATGCAAACACGTTGGGCAGTTGCGACTTGCTCAAGACCATTCCATCCTCAATCCTCAGAAATGGCACTGTGTGGACTGCAATACGACTGAGTCGATTTGGGCTTGCCTTAGCTGTTCCCATGTTGCCTGTGGAAGATATATTGAAGAGCATGCACTCAAGCACTTTCAAGAAAGCAGTCATCCTGTTGCATTGGAGGTGAATGAGATGTATGTTTTTTGTTACCTTTGTGATGATTATGTTCTTAATGATAATGCAACTGGAGACCTGAAGTTACTACGAAGTACCTTAAGTGCAATCAAAAGTCAAAATTATTACTGCACAACTCGTAGTGGAAGGGTTTTACGGTCTATGGGTACAAGTGATGATTCTTATTTCTTACATGATGGCGCCCAATCTCTGCTTCAAAATGATGATCAAATGTATACAGCTCTTTGGCACAGGAGAAGGATGCTAATGGGAAAAATTTTTCGAACATGGTTTGAACAATCACTCATTGGAAGGAAAAGTCAAGAAGAACAGTTTCAGGAAAAGATAGTACCAAAAAGAGAAGTGAAGAAAAGACAGCAAGATTTAGAGTATCAGGTTAAAGCAGAATTGGAAAGTACGCCTCCAAGAAAGAGTTTACGTTTGCAAGGTTTAGCTCAGTCTACCACAATAGAAATAGTTCCTGTTCCAGTACCACCACAAACTCCAGCATCACCAGCGAAAGATAAAGTAGTATCTACCTCAGAAGATGTAAGACTTAAAAAATTTAGTGACTCCTCAGTAAAACGAAGGCCAATAGTAACTCCTGGTGTAACAGGATTGCGAAATTTGGGAAATACTTGCTATATGAATTCTGTTCTTCAGGTATTGAGTCATTTACTTATTTTTCGACAATGTTTTTTAAAGCTTGATCTGAACCAATGGCTGGCAGTGACTGCAAGTGATAAGACAAGATCTTCTTATAAGCATCCACCAGTCACAGATACATTAGTATGTCAAATGAATGAATGCCAAGAAAAAGATACAAGTTTTGTTCGGTCTAGACATTATAGTTTGTCATCAGGACTAAGTGGTGGGGCATCAAAAAGTAGAAAGATGGAGCTTATTCAGCCAAGAGAGCCAAGTTCACAATACATTTCTCTTTGCCATGAATTGCATACTTTGTTCCAAGTCATGTGGTCTGGAAGGTGGGCGTTGGTCTCACCATTTGCAATGCTGCACTCAGTGTGGAGACTGATTCCTGCCTTTCGTGGTTATGCCCAACAAGATGCTCAGGAATTTCTTTGTGAACTTTTGGATAAAATACAACATGAACTAGAGACAACTGGTACCAGTTTACCAGCTCTTATCCCCACTTCTCAAAGGAAACTGATCAAACAAGTTCTGAATGTTGTAAATAACATTTTTCATGGACAACTTCTTAGTCAGGTATATTTTTCTAAATCTTTATTTTCATCTTGGAATTCAGAAAGTGAATCCTAAAAATGCATATTCTGTGCATATCTAGTGTGTTAAAACTAGTACCATTTTTTTAGGGCAAACTAGATTATTTTTATAAATGTATATAAAGGAGTCTGTTCACTCATTTATGATTCTTCCTTCATGAATCATTGGAAATAGTTTTATGTCCATGGTATCAAAAGGCATTTTTGAGAGGGCTGTGTGCACCTATAATCCTAGCATTCAGAGAGACCGAGGTAGGTGGATTGCCTAAGCTTATGAGTTCGAGACCATCCTGAGCTAGACTGAGACTCCATCTCTAAAACATAACTGCGTGTTGTGGCAGGCTCCTATAGTCCCAGCTACTTAGCAGGCTGAGGCAAGAGGATCACTTGAGCCCAGGAGTTTGAGGTTGCTGTGAGCAATGACACCATAGCACTCTACCAAGGGCAACAAAGTAAGACTTTGTTTCAAAAAAAAAAAAAAAAAAAGCTTTTTTTGATGAGGGGGAATCAGGAAACAACTTTAAATAGATTAATAATATTCATTCTCTGAAGGATTGAGATGAGGAAGGGTTTAATCCCAGAGGGAACAGATCTCAAATTGCTGCAATACTGGGGATAAACATGCTGCCCATTTGAGCAATTACAGGGACCAGGGAGTAGCTCTGGAGGACTCTTTAATCCCAAAGAGATCTGGGAGTTTAACAAGTAGGCAGGGAAATTTTCAGGTGAACAAGTGTGATTTCATCTAAATCCTAAATGGCTTTCCTTTATTTGAATTATTGCTCAAAAGTTTCCTTTGTTGTGAAAAGGTAGATTACTTGTTGTTAGAATCTTCTATCAGTGAAATTAGGAAACTGATTCTCAGGCCCGTGCGGTGGCTCACGCCTATAATCCCAGCACTCTGGGAAGCCAAGGCAGGTAGATTGCCTGAACTCACAGGTTAGAGACCAGCCTGATCAACAGCAAGACCTCGTCTCTAAAAATAGCCGGATGTTGCGGCAGGCGACTGTAGTCCCAGCTACTTGGGAGGCTGAGGCAAGAGAATTGTTTGAAACCAAGAGTTTGAGGTTGCTGTGAGTTATGACGCCACAGCACTTTACCAGGGTGACAAAGTGAGACTGTCTCAAAACAAAAAAAGGAAACTGATTCTCAGGAGATTACAATAGTTGGTTGCTAGAATGGCTTTTGTTTGTTTTATGTCAAGAAAGTTCTTAATATCGACCCTATAAATGCCAGGCATGTACTTTATGTCAATTTGTTAAATCTAAATCCGTATTAGAACTGGCTTCTGTATTTTGTTGCCTGTGCTAGGAATGTAGCTGGTCTGAAAGAGCTTCTTTGTAATACTACAAATCGTATGTGGATTATTTGTTCATAGAGTCTGTCTTCAATTATTAGGACTGTGTTGGCTGCTGAGTGTTTTGCTGAAGTTACTGTTCATTTCCTTCCCAGTTGCTACATTGCCTCTATAAATTGTTAGAACTTCTGCATGTTTTTTGTGTTTCCTATATCTGGATTTTATGTTTCCTATACATGTATTGTCTTTTGAAATTATCATTTAGGAGGGCTTCCAATTCTGTATAATGAAAAACACTAATATTTTACTTATATTGTGGTTAAGGTTTGGGTTAAGAGGTTATAGGATTTGTGGTGAGGAAAAAAATAAGCGTTTGCCTGGTGTTGTGTCCAGCACCTGTGGTCCCAGCTACTATTGCACTTAACACCAGGGGTCTCTAGGCTGGGCAACAAAGACTATGTCTCAAAAAAAAAAAAAAAGCCAGCAACAGACTAGGAAAAAAATATTATTTTTTATTTATTTATTTTATTTTATTCACCCTTTTTCAAACTCTTGGGCTTAAGCCATTAAGCCCAAGATTTTAAAATAAAATATTTTATTTTCACTACATCGCCCTTGGTAGTAGAGTGATGTAGCGTCACAGTTCAAACCTTTTTCAAACTCTTGGGCTTAAGACATTCTCTTGCCTCAGCCTCCCAAATAGCTAGGACTACAGGCACCTGCCATATACCTGGCTATTTTATGTTGTAGTTGTCATTGCTGTTTAGCTGGCCAGGACTGGGTTTGATCCTGCCACTCTCAGTGTATGTGACTAGCGCCATAACCACTGTACTATGAAATCAGTGAAAGATGAGGAAGCATAGCCAGGTGCAGTGGGTCACGCCTGTAATCCTAGTATTCTGGGAGGACGAGGCGAGTGGATTGCCTGAGCTCAGGAGTTGGAGACCAGCCTGAGCCAGAGTGAGACCTTGTCTCTAAAAACAGCTGGGTGTAGTGACAGGCACATATAGTCCCAGCTACCTGGGAGGCTGAGGCAAGAGAATCGCTTAAGCCCAAGAGTTTGAGGTTGCTGTGAGCTATGACGCCATGGTACTCTACCAAGGGCGACAAAGTGAGACTCTGTCTCAAAAGAAAAAATGAGGAAGGAAAAAGGGTGAAGTACCTCAAGCCTAAAGACATAAACATGTTAAATGCTTATAAATATTTCATATATTTAGGCACAAGTAATGTGTATCTATTAAATGCATCCATACTTTGGACTTTTACCTAAATTCTAGATTTGATTAATGCCCTTAGAGCTTTTGAATGCTCAGTATTTGAAGCCCACCAATTCATAATGGATTTAATGGTAATCTTTTAGAAGGAAAAATCACGATACTAACAATAATGTAAAGTGGATTTAGTTGTGTGGTTTTTTGTTTTTTTTTTCAAGTTTTTGGCCGGGGCTGGATTTGGGGCCTGCGCCCTACTCCTTTGAACCATAGGTACTGCCCCAGATTATTTATAATTGTAATGGTGCATTTTCACATGAAAATTTTATTTACTACAGTGACCTCTAATGAAAGGAATTTACATTTTGATGGGAACGTTGTAATCTGAAGAACTAATGTTTTTATTTGCAGGTTACATGTCTTGCATGTGACAACAAATCAAATACCATAGAACCTTTCTGGGACTTGTCACTGGAATTTCCAGAAAGATACCAGTGCAGTGGAAAAGATGCTGCTTCCCAGCCATGTCTGGTTACTGAAATGTTGGCCAAATTTACAGAAACTGAGGCTTTAGAAGGAAAAATCTACGTATGTGATCAGTGTAACTGTAAGTAAAGCATTCGCTGTGCTTTTCTAGGAGTGATAGAGAAATACAAATTAAAGCTGGAACAAATTCCTTAATAGCAGTTATGAAAATAAACTTTTTTTAGGTCATTAAGAGAAATCACACTAAACACTTTTTTTTTTTGAGACAGAGTCTCACTTTGTCACTCTCAGTAGAGTACCATATCATCATAGCTCCCAGCAACCTCAAACTCTTAGGCTTGAGCGATCTTTTTGTCTCAGCCTCCCCAGTAGCTGGTACTACAGGCACCCGCCACAACACCTGGCTATTTTTTGAACCGAGGTTGCATTCTGGCTCAGGCTGGTCTTGAACCTGTGAGCTCAGGCAAGCCACCTGTCTTGGCCTCCCAGATTGCTAGGATTACAGGCCTGAGCCACTGTGCCCAGCCTAAACACTTCTACTTCATAATTGACACAAACCTTATTGATGGCATTTAAATTGTTTTGATGCTACAGTTAATTGTAGAAAGAAGGGATTCATAAAATAAATATAAATTTAATATTTGCAACAGAATGAAGTAGTAAAGAATAATAAAAAGAAAACATGTAGTGTGAATGAAATATTTGCTTTATGAGGGTATTTTTGCTACATATCAAATTATTGATATATAAGTAATATCTGTGTGTGTGTGTATATATTAGAAAGTAATACATTGCCAGGCATGGTGGCTCATGCCTATAATCCTAATGCTCTGGGTGGCCGAGGCCAGTGGATTGCCTGAGCTCACAGGTTTGAGACCAGCCTGAGCAAGAGCAAGACCCCATCTCTAAAAATAGCCAGGTGTTGTGGTGAGTGCCTGTAGTCCTAGCTACGGGGGAGGCAGAAGCAAGAGAATCGCTTGAGCCCAGGAGTTTGAGGTTGCTGTGAGCTATGATGCCAGGGCACTCTACCAAGGGTGACAAAATGAGGCTCTGTCTCAAAAACAAAAAAACAAGTCAAGGAGTTATATCCCCTGTCTTGCTACACTTGGGTCATAGGTTGTAGAAGACAATTCAGAGATAGGTATAGGACATTCAGCTGCACCCAGATACCTGGATCTCAGGGGGTATATACCTGGAGGAAAGGCTTTTTGGTGGCCAATGGAGGTAGCTTAGAGCATAGCCTCGTGATAGACTGACTCCGCCTCCTACATGAAAAGCAGCTGCTGCTATATCTGCAGTCAGAACCATGATACAAGTTGAAGGGTAGCTCCTGGCCATCAGGAACAAACTGGATAGCCAGTGGCCCACCAGAAGCTATAGGACATAATCCACAGATTTCTGGAGAAGTAGTGGTAAAAAGAAGAATCCTAGATTCCACTTGTCTAATATCTGTTGCCAGAAGAACAAAAGCAAAACATTGGGTGAGGGAGGCCTCAGGTGCACAGCTGCTTTCTTAGACCATCAGCCAAGGCTGGAGTAGATCACCAAAGGGTAGAGGGGTGTTCTGAGCAGTGAGTATCCCTGCCCCCTATATATTAAAGATATTTAAGGAGTACTTTAATTTTTTCCTATTAATATGCATAGCCAAGTCCATTTTTACATACAGAAGTATACTTCACTCTTTTACCTTATTTGCAAGGTTTTTATTAAATCATATACTTATTAATTTACCTAAGTTGACTAGCTCATATGGTTTGGTTTTATTTTTTATTTATTATTTTGTTTTAGGTTATTATGAGGGTACAAACAACTAGGTCACAATTTTTTAATTTTTTAGGTAGAGTCCCTCTTGTAGTTGTGTCTCGCACCCAAAAGATATGCCATATACCCTTACCTTTAAGAGGGAGCACACCAATCCCCTCTCTTCCCCCCCCTTCCTTGGTCCCCATCCCCTCACATTGAATAGAATTAAATTTACTTCTTATGTGGGCATGTGTTAAATTATCTACTGGCTTCATAATAAAATTGAGTATATTGGATACTTGCTTTTCCATTCTTGTGATACTTAGAAGGATGTTTTTCATCTCCATCCAGGTTAATACAAAAGATGTAAAGTCACTGTCTTTTCTTACAGTTGAATACTATTCCATTGTTTTATTTTTAAATTGTGGATCACAAGTTTCTTGAGGACAAAGCCTTTGTCTGTATCTCTAGCAGGGTATAATTCCTATCATACCATGATATTCGTTTATGACTGAATTAAAATATTTACTCATCTTTTCCTTGTATCTTTAAATTTGATTTTTATTCTTTCTTTAATATTACAGCAAAGCGTAGAAGGTTTTCCTCAAAGTCAGTTGTACTCACAGAAGCCCAGAAACAGCTTATGATATGCCATCTACCTCAGGTTCTCAGACTACACCTCAAACGATTCAGGTTAGTAGAAGTAGTATTAATTAGCAGTTGCCTACCAACCATATACTTCTAATGTGATGTGATCATTTCTTGTGTGTATAAAGCTTCAAAACTTAAAGAGCACATATGATGAATTAACTTTTATTTATTTATTTATTTAGACAGAGTCTCACGATGTTGCCCTCGGTAGAGTGCCATGGCATCACAGCTCACAACAACCTCAAGCTCTTGGGCATAAGCGATTCTCTTGCCTCAGCCTCCCAAGTAACTGGGACTACAGGCGCCTGCCACAACACCCGGCTATTTCTTTGTTGTAGTTGTCGTTGTTTAGCAGGCCTGGGCTGGGTTCAAACCTGATAGCCTCTGTGTATGTGGCTGGTGTCCTAAATGCTGAGCAACAGCCACCAAGCCTTCTTTTTTTTAGAGGAAAAAAATCTCTGTTCATTGTCTTTATCCTTGACCAACAGATACCATCCTGTTTGGTAACTAATCTTCTGATTAGCTTCCCTTGTGGAATGCATTGCTGGTCAGCAGATCCCTCACATTTGGGTCTGCTGGGTTCTATTACTATCTTTATAAATTTAATTCTGCTTATAGTCTTTAATCAGGATATTTAAGGTATAAACAGTTTAAATTTAATCTATAACTTAAAACTATTTGAACCAATTGCTGTGTCCTTGCAAAATATTTAATCTAAAGTATAACAGGTTTTTTTGTTTTATAAACTACTGTTAAGAAATATATTTAGTTAGGTGAATTAATTGACAAATCTGTTGATTAAGGAAAGTAAATGGTTTCATACTTTGTATGAACCATGTTAATCTCAGGGGCTATTGTTCTCTCTTTTTTTTTTTTTTTTTTTGAGACAGAGCCAGAGTTTCAAGCAGTCACCCTGGGTAGCGTGCTGTGGCGTTATAGCTCACAGCAACCTCAAACTCCTGGGCCCAAGCAATTGTCTTGCCTCAGCCTCCCAAGTAGCTGGGACTATAGGCACCCACCACAATGCCCAGCTATTTTTTGGCCCAGAGCTGGATTCGAACCTGCCAGCTCTGGTGTATGTGGCTGGCGCTCTAGCTGCCTGAGCTACAGGCGCCGAGCAAGGTCTATTGTTCTCTTAAGTTATGAGACCCACTGAAGAAGTTACTTAATCTCGGCTTGGCACCTATAGCTCAACCGGCTAAGGCGCCAGCCACGTACACCTAAGGTGGCAGGTTCGAATCCCCAGCCCGGACCCACCAAACAACAATGATGGCTGCAACCAAAAAATAGCCGGGCGTTGTGGCGGGCGCCTGTGGTCCCAGCTACTTGGGAGGCGGAGGCAGGAGACTCGCTTGAGCCCAGGAGTTGGAGGTTGCTGTGAGCTGTAATGCCACGGCACTCTGCCCAGGGGGACAGCTTGAGGCTCTGTCTCAAAAAAAAAAAAAAAAAAAAAGAAGTTACTTAATCTCTGAGAGGCCAAGGCGGGTGGACTGCCTGAGTTTACAGATTCAAGCAAGAGTGAGACCCCATCTCTAAAAAATAGCTGAGCGTTGTGGTAGGCACCTGTAAGTCCCAGCTACTGGGGAGGCTGAGACAAAAGAATCAGTTGAGCCCAAGAGTTTGAGGTTGCTGTGAGCTATGACTCCACAGCACTCTACCAAGGGTGACAAAGAGAAACTCTGCCTAAAAAAAAAAAAAGTTAATGTACTATGATTTGAAAACTATGAAGACTATGTTTTTCATACATATTAGTTGTTGTTGTTTGTCTTAATAATTAAAAATAGGTATTTTTAAAAATCCAATCATTACAGAAGGTAAATATACCTCTTTCCTCCAAGTCCCACTTCCCAGAGACACTGTTAAGTTTCATCATTCAGTAATTGATTTTAGCTGTTCCAGTCAGCAAATATGAGTGCTTTTTAATGCTAGATGTTTTGTATTTGAGGAATATAAATTAGAATTCTTAAGATGACAGGCATGTACATAAGTAATGGTGAAGTAGAATAAATAAACTGTATACATACACCTATCAGATACTTGGAAGAGAGAGTTACCTAATGTGTAAAACTTTACAAGCATCTAATGGTACATGGGGCTCTAGATCAGTCTAGTCTCAGTTCATGTCACTTCATTTAGAGGGGACTTCCCTGACCATCTTGTTTTAAAATAGTACCACTTTGGCTGGGCATAGAGGCTCATGCCTATAATCCTAGCACCCTGGGAGGACAAGGTGAGCGGATTGTTTGAGTTCAGGAGTTCAAGACCAGCCTGATCAAGAGCAAGACCCCATCTCTACTAAAAGTAGAAAACAAAACAAACAACAACAAGAACAAAAAACTAGCCAGGCATGGTGGCGTATGCCTGTAGTCCCAGCTACTTAGGAGGCTTAGGCAAGAGGATTTCATGAACTCAGGAGTTTAAGGCTGCGGTGAGCTACAATGACACCATAGCACTCTACCCAGGGCTACAGAGTGAGACTTTGTTTCAAAAAAAACAAGAAAGAACTACCACATTACATCTTTTTTCCATGATAGGACCAACTCCCATCATCTGTGTATGATACAAACGGTCCTTGCCATCCTTAGATCCAGTGATGGGAGGCATAATTAACAGATTGAGAAAATGATAATATTGGGGCATTCTTTAAGTTCTGTCACTGAGTATAGTGCTAACTTGAAAGGGTCCCATTTCCTACTATTTAGTCTGAAGTGCTCTGAGGAATTAGTGGTCCCAAGAGTTGTTTTGTTTTGTTGTTTTTTTTTCACCCCACAACTGGCCGAGAAAGATCCAGATTGTATCTACTATCTGGGATAACCCTCTTCATTACCCTCACAAGATAATGAAATGAAAACTCTTTGGTGGTTTGACTTAATCTAAAAGGGGGTAAAGTCCATAAAGCTACACTTTTATAAAAGCTATTTTTCTTCCCAAATCATCATCCAACTACAGAAGATGAATATTTATTTGAAAATATGATTGTACTTATTTGTAAATAAGCCTAAATTCCTCCATTTATAGCCAACTTCAGCATTGAAAGAATTTTATATTTATCATACATGTATTTTGAATTCTGTACTTTCTGGTGTCATCTACACTACTTGTCTAGACCTAGGACACGGTCCTTTTCCCTGGATCGTGCTGATAATTTTACTCTGGTTTGTTTGCAGGTGGTCAGGACGTAATAATCGAGAGAAGATTGGTGTTCACGTTGGCTTTGAAGAAATCTTAAACATGGAGCCCTATTGCTGCAGGGAGACCCTGAAATCCCTCAGACCAGAATGCTTTATCTATGACTTATCTGCTGTAGTAATGCACCACGGGAAAGGCTTTGGCTCAGGACATTATACTGCCTACTGCTATAATTCTGAAGGAGGTATAAATAGGAAAAATCATTTTAACTTGGGTTAGACTAAAAGCTGGAGTTCAGGCTTGGCTTTAGCAATTCCTAAATTGGCAACCAATTATCTTTTTTTTTTTTTTCTTTTTGAGACAGAGCCTCAAGCTGTCACCCTGGCTAGAGTGCCATGGCTTCACTGCTCACAGCAACCTCCAACTCCTGGGCTCAAGCGAGTCTCCTGCCTCAGCCTCCCAAGTAGCTGGGACCACAGGCGCCCGCCACAACGCCTGGCTATTTTTTGATTGCAGCCATTGTTGTTGTTTGGCAGGTCCGGGCTGGATTCGAACCCACCACCTTAGGTGTATGTGGCTGGTGCCTTAGCCTCTTGAGCCACAGGAGCCGAGCCGGCAACCAATTATCTTAAGCAAACCACTTGACCATTTTCTTTTTAGAAGAATGCTTCTGCAGTATTGTTAGTTTTTAAAGAAATGAGAGTTTGTATAGAAAATTATTTTCTGTAAGTCTGCACTCCCTTAGTAGGGGTAAGATAATGAAAAGTCTTATTAATTAAAAGCCAAAGTGCTATCTTTTCTTAAAGGCACACTCCCAAGAACAGGTCACATTTTTACTCTTTTATTTAAATGTTGTTAAAGAATAGGGCATCTTAATGAACTTGGGGGTAACTTATTTGGAACAAATATTTGGTTCAACATCCAAAACTCACTTTCATTTGCTGCCTCCATGGACCTCTCTAGGACAGTCTAGTCCTAAGATAAGTGACTGGATTGAGGTTTCACTGTTTATTTACCCTTTTGGTACCTACAGCTGAACAACAAAATGAATTACCACCACCTCTAACACACACAAAACAAATAGAAAAGAGGTGTAGACAAAAAGCCCAGGAAATCCACCAAGGCAATCAGTTCAACACTAAACTACGAAGAGTCATACTCTATTTGCTTTATAATACACACTGAATATTCCTGTATAATATTTTTGTTTTTAAAGATATAAGGTTTTGCTCTGTCACCCAAACTGAAGTGCAATGCTTGATCGTAGCTCACTGCAGCCTCGAACTCCTGTGCTCAAGCAGTCCTCCCACCTTAGCCTCCCAAGTTATACAGTATTTTTAATAATTTTGTGCTTTAAAGTTAGGTACATGTTTGCTTTCTGATGGTACATTGAACTATCAGAAAATAAACATGTCACTATCTCAGCCCCCTATGTGAACAGTCTGTGGTTGTTTGGAAGTGCCATTATTCCTGACTGTGAATTTGTGTCTACCAACAAGCAATCATTTTATTCTACTTGTGTACATGTAAGTACTTAACAGTAAAAAATATGCTGGGTGCTATTGTTCACACCTGTAATCCTAGCACTCTGGGAGGCTGAAGCAGATGGATTGCTTGAGCTCAGGAGTTTGAGACCAGCCTGAGCAAAAGTGAGACCTCAACCCTACTAAAAATAGAAAATTTAGCTGGGCATTGTGGCATATACTCAGCAATCCCAGGTACTCAGCAACCTGAGGCAAGAGGATCACTTGAGCCCAAGAGTATGAGGTTGCTATGAGCTATGACACCACAGCACTCAACCCAGGATGACAGAGTAAGACTGTCTCCCCTGGCTCCCCCCTGGAAAAAAATCCCCAAAACCAGTAAAAAAAAGACATACCATAAATACAGTGAATATATAGTGTTCAGGGTTACCTGTGTCTATCATGTCAAAAGCTTTTTGGCTTTTGTAGTATTTTGGATTTTTGGATTAGAAATCATCAATCTGTATGATTAGTAGCAAGAGCAAGAACTGGTGAGTTTCTACTGGGAATACAGTCAGGTACTCCAGTCAGTCAGATGCTATCATTTCTAACTTCCAGAATAAAGGTAGATAATTCTAAGGTAACATACTACCCAAGCTATTTTCCCTGAAAAAAAAAAATAAAAGTTAATTGGCTAGAAAATTACCTTCCCTTCAGAAAGCTTAACTCTGACAGATAACGATAACACATTGTATGCTAAATTTCTAAAGTTCCCTTGTAAACCTATTTCTGTGCTTTGCTTTAGGGTTCTGGGTACACTGCAATGATTCCAAGCTAAGCTTGTGCACTATGGATGAAGTATGCAAGGCCCAAGCCTATATCTTGTTTTATACCCAACGAGTTACTGAAAATGGACATGCTAAACTGCCTCCAGAACTCCTGTCTGGTAGCCAGCACCCCAGTGAAGAAGCTGATACCTCTTGTAAGGAAATCCTTAGCTGATCCAAAGATGGTGGGGCTTTCTTATGATTTGTATATATACTTTTTAAAAGGGCTGACTTCCAATTTTAAGCTTCATTGTTTTTATTTTTTACTTATGAATCAGTGCACACTACATTTATACATTTTGTATCTAACTGCAACAAAACTTTTTTACAGAGTAAAAAAAGTATAAACATATGAACTGCAGGTAACTAAACTTTTTTCAATTTCTTGGGAGTTTTAGTGTTTACCTCAGACTGGTGTTACCTCTTTTATATTTTGATGTCTTAATTGGCTCAGATCATGAATTTGTGCAATCCTCTACTGAAGAAGTTCAGGTGGCATCATTTTATATATATTTGTTATTTATCTTTTGTAGCTATTTTATATACAAATTCTTAATGGATAGAAAAATTACTTACATCACTAATAGGCTTACCCAGAAAACAAGGCTTTTCTTTTAGGCCACTGGATATTGAAGTCACCTTTACCCCTTAAAGGGAATTAAACTAATACATCAAAGTGTTAGTATCACCTAAATATTCACCGATCACACTGATTGATATTCCTGAGGCTTTGCTGTACAAGACTTAGAACAGATACTACTTTGGCTAGTATAACTTCACTTTAAAATTTATTACGGTTATTAAAATAATTGTTCTTTATTTGTCATAGTCAAACTGTATCGAAATGAAAATGGCAGCTTTACAAATAAGTATATTTAAGTGAGCTTTGGAACTGTGGACATTAAAAAATGATGGCTGGGATTTATGATTTTTGTCTGGCAGCAAACAGGTTTGTCCAGATTGTAATAAAGCAGTCATATAAAAAATCTGAATTTAGCAAACTGGTGTATTATGATGTTGTTTAAATAGTTTTATCTTGGGTACGGGTTCATTTTATATGTTTCATAACATTCGATCTCTTAAAGCTTTGTATATCTTGATTTTTTAGTTCAAAGGAGAAAAAAACATGGAGGGCCAAGATAATTGTTTAAAATTGGCAACTGGGCTATATGTCTATCACCTCGTTTTCCTAAATAAAGCCCGGACTATTTACTCTTGCCAGGATTATGTGACTACTAGGTAGGAGGCTCTTAGATAAACACTAGGCCCAAACAGTTTTTTAAAAATATTTAAAATTATCTATACTTGCATTTAGAAAGCATGACCTTTTTTGTGCTTCTAATAATTTAGTAAGATCTCTTTAAGTTCTACTGCTGCTAACTTATTCAGAAAGGTTAGAATCTACTAACCTCTGTCAAATCAGCTATATAAGATTTTTAAGCTCAGTGTTAATCACTGAAACATCATTTCTCCCTTTTGTCTTAAGTGGGTTTATTTGCAGTTGAAATCCTAATGAAAGATACTATCCTGTAGAATGCTGTTTGCCATCCGTAAGTATAAACTTGAGAGGGACCTCTCCTAGCAAATATTCCTTAAATTTCAAAACAAGTCATCTGGGTCAGCCAGTAGTAAAGTGCAATGAGACCTTACCACTGAATAGACAAATCAATTGTGCCAAATATACATCTGGAGTATTAAATGGCTAGGTTTAAAATTGTTCATTTACTAAACACCTATGCAAGTTGTTACCTCAACTGTTACATACTTATACCTCATTAAAGATTGACGTGGTTAAGATACTGGAGTCTAGCTTTTAATTTCAAAGATATTTTTAAGATACACATTTTAGCACCTGATTTTAATGGGAGTTAAGAAAAACTGAAACTATGCTGTTTGTAATGGTATAGTTGCTTGTACTTACTTCAATATAAAAATCTGTAAGAAATGACTTAGCCCTTTTTAATCCCTTAATACTAACAGCTACAGGGTGAGAGGGAGGCATATTTGGAAAATCTGTACTACTTCACACCAAATTTTGTTGTAAACATAAAACTGTTCTTAAAAGTCTTAAAATACCAACAAACTAAAACCTGAATAATAAACCGATTTCATACTATGTATCTTAAATGACAACATGAACTACTATATTCTGTTAAGTTGATCTAACAAAAAACAACGTGTTTTGGTTGTAAAATAATTTACTAAAGGCACTATTGTTAAACATCAAGCTAATTTGTTACCAGTAAGGTACATCATTGTAAATGAAACAATTTCAAGAATTACAGGGTTAGTAGGCAAATAATACAGTTTTATCCTAAAAGTGACAACTTTCCTATTTACAAGATCATATCCCTTCCCGCTGTTTCTGGGACAGAAAGTGATGCCAGTTGCTCCATGTATGACCTGAGAAGGGAAGGGGACTTGGAGCTCATTCATATTTGAGCTCACAATTTGAGATTATACTGCCCGCGATTTTATAAAGCTCCAAGATTCTTTACTTATGGTAGTCAATTCTAAAATTCTTGGATTTAGAAATCACCCTACTTGTTTTATACGCCCTACCAAAGCACACCAAAAAGATATGGACTCAAAACCCCCAAGGAGCTAGCTGGAGAGCACAAGCCCTGATGATGTGACCAAACATGAACTAGTGAGCTCTGTTAACACAGCATCACAGAAAATGGAGAAATTATTCAAAGGTGGCTATTGAACATTAGCACCATGATAAACATAGCTCATACAGCTAAGAACTAGATTGATTTCTCCACAATGTGTAACATATCTCTAATGCTAAAAGAGCAGCTTTTTACTAAAAATGACCTAGATACAAAAGTCATAGGTTTCTCTTCCTATGAGAAAAAAGTTAACCAAAATACAAACTAAACAGCATCCCAGAGGCAATAAATCTCATTGTGCTAAAGCATATACAATACAAATTAAGGCTTCACCTTGGTACATAAACAATTTTGAAATTACACTGGAACATTCCCACCAAATCATTTACATATAAACATTCAAGCAGTTCGTTAAGGAATCAGTAGTGGGGCTCAGCTCAAGTAAGTTAATTTTATAAATCCTTACATTCAACTTTGCTGCTGTAAGGAGAGTAACTGTAACCTCACCTCCTGAAATACCACTAGTAATGCTGAGAATCCAAACCAGTCAAGAGGCAGGGTATTATAGCATTTGGCTCATAAAAGAAAAAGCCTAATAATTTCAATTTAACCTTTCTAACTAGAACAAGATCCAGACATGGGAAGTTTTCCTGTTTTTCTTTGCTTTTGTGCCTTTGATGCCATTTCGGTTTTTTCAGCAAGTTGAATACATTTCCCAAGAAATACTACCATTGGACTAAGGATCGAAATGCTGAGATTTTTTACAAAATCAAAGTTTCAAGTTAGCACAATGTTCCTAAGTCATGTTTCAATTAGTACATCTTTCAAATGTCAGGGGAAAGTATGAAAGAATGACTAACATGGTCCTATAAAAAATGGCAAAATATTTCTAAAGCCATAGCATTATATTTATGAATAAAAAGGCGACTGTCTCACTTCACGCATGTGTATGCATTTGAGCTACTATGCCAGAAGAAAGTCTCAGGGTAGAGGTCTACAATCCAGAAAAAAGGCTCTGCATTTCTTCACATTAAGTTTAAGCTATTTCCTGTCCAGAATCATAACCACAGACATTGAAATGTAGCTGTCAGATCTGAAAATGTCTTTATTTTTTTTAGAAAATGGATTCCAGGAAGGTTAAAAAGCAATACCAGAGAGTATAGATGCAGAATTGGATGTAGTCATTCAAAGCATTCAAGTAAGAATATGGCAATATAAATATCCAAAAAGCATCTCTTAGGTGTTCAAAACAAAATGTTTAAGTCATTCCTAACTAATTTGAGCTTTACAGCATTTCCTAGACAGAAGGTAAAACAGTTAACATTTCAAAAAGTCCTGAAAGCTTTTTCCTTGGTTAATTACATTAGACCGTTTGCCTTTGATCCAATTCCTTCTTTTTTAACATGAATAAAAAGTATTACATAGGTCCACGGTTAAAAGAGACATGTTGCAAATTAATTCTGGTATAATGTATTCCAACAAAGCTTAGAAAATAAAGATGTTGAGGTGGCTTTGGACTAAGTTTAATAGTCATCTCCTCTGCTGACAACTTCTTTGCATGTTGGACGCAACAGTATGGTATGTTCAAACTGCACTGTATATGATCCTTTAATGTCACATAATGGTGGATATGGATCTACAATGCCCAAGTCACACAGATTCTTCAGAGCCATCAAATATTTACTTTCTCCCAAGCGATCAAGCCATCTGCGGCAGAAGGCAAGGGTGCCAAAGTTGTCATTGATGACATTTAACAAGTGTTTTGTTCTTGGAAGCCTAAGAAGAGTAAATCCAAGATTAATAGTTGGCAAGAGTTACCAGTTTATTGCCCCCATTAAGAAAAACCCAAACCGGGGCCGCACCTGTGGCTCAAAGGAGTAGGGTGCCGGCCCCATATGCTGGAGGTGGTGGGTTCAAACCCAGCCCCAGCCAAAAACTGCAAAAGAAAAAAGAAAAACGCAAACCATAGCTGTGTCTTAGTAATTAAAGTTCAAAAACTTTTGTTGTTGGGCAGCACCTATGGCTCAGAGGGCAGGGTGCCAGCCCCATATACCAAGGGTGGTGGGTTCAAACACAGCCCCAGCCAAACTGCAACAAAAAAATAGCCAGGCATTCTGGCGGGCACCTGTAATCCCAGCTATTTGGGAGGCTGAGGCAAGAGAATTGCCTAAGCCCAGGAGCTGGAGGTTGCTATGAGCTGTGCAATGCCACAGCACTCTACCGAGGGTGATAAAGTGAGACTCTGTCTCTACAAAAAAAAAAAAAAAAAACTTTTGTTGTTGCTCTTTCAACACTGAAAAGCCAGAGTTTATAAAAGCCAATAATACATAATTTCAGATGGCAGCTGAATTAGGAAATGAACAGGAGGCCATCTTACAGCATTTATTTGTCTGTGCATGTGTGTTAAACCACTCCATATTCACCTAGAGAGTGGCATCATAGGAATGTCTCATGTGCACATTAAGTTCAAAGAAAAACCTAAACATACAGGGAAGCATAAATCCCAGTTTCAATCATCTCCAAAAGTAAAAAATCCAATGTAAACTGAAATATGAAGTTTACCAGTGGAAAACACTAAGACCAAAAACTAGGAATGGTAGCAAATAATCTCTGATGTTATATTATGAAGCTGGATTTAAAGAGAATACTTGCCTACATATATTATTTTCATCTCAGGCCAATTTTTCTTTTCTTTTTTTTTTTGGCCACATTAAAGAAACCCACAGAACTTATTAGGCTACAGAACTATACATTTATGAATGTATCTCACCTTGTATGTATGTCACTTTAAAAAATACTGTCAATGGCTCAGCACCTATACCTCAACTGGCTAGGGCACCAGCCACATACACCAGAGCTGGCAGGTTCGAATCCAGCCCAGGCCTACCAAACAGCAGTGACAACTACAACCAAAAGATAGCTGGGCACTGTGGCGGGCGCCTGTAGTCTCAGCAACTTGGGAGGCTGAGGTAAGAGAATCGCTTAAGCCCAAGAGTTTGAGATTACTGTGAGCTGTGACACCATGGCAACAGCTTGAGACCCTGTCTCAAAAAAAAAAACAAACAAAAAAAAACAAAAAATACTGTCAAACTGGAAGAAATGCTCATTAGTCATATAAAATCAAGGGTAAAAAAAATATGCTAGTTCTATAAGCGGCTGGGAAAAAAAATTAAAAATAGTCTTCTCACCTTATCGGCACATGTCCAACATCAAAATTTTTCATGTAATGTGAACATTCCATGTCATCATGAACAACACCTTTTCCTGTACTACCAAAGGTTTCAATTGCATACACTTCGCCTTCCTAAAAAATATGTAAAGGTCAAGGGGAGAGAAGAAAACTTTAGAAACTATTCACAATTACTATCTCTTGACTTATGAGCTGATAAAAGCAGCAACATGAAATAGCCCTTGGCAGTCCTTATCCAACCTCTCCCTGCATAGCACTTTCTGGGCTTTCTGCCTCCTCTTACTAAAATTCAGGCTTTTTAAGGGCAGGGAATTTTGTTCACTATACCTCCAGTGCCTACTAAAGAGAATGGCACTAGAAAATGTTCAATAAATATTCATCAAATGTTGAATTAACAATCCTTTTTCAGCCAGAACTTTCATAGCTGATTTGACTCTGGTCTGATCTTGACATCATTTGCACAAATAGCCTAATTCCTATCAGGGTTAGTATGAATGGCAAGCTATTTTGGTCAACATACTATGTACTTAATTATCACTAGCTTGTTTAGAGGAAAAATAAGATTACAATGTTTTTCGCAAGATGTATTATGTATAACACACATACCTCCATTCTTGTTGCCTCTCCTCCTTTCACAATGGGCACTGTTTTCCCAGCATGTATTCTATATTGCCCAATTGAATGTCCATTTAGATTACGGATTGGTTTCACTGTCATAATAAATAAAGAAGTAAGTTATCCATAATATTTAGAAGCACAAAGCATCTCTTAGCCTTTTTTGTGCAGAGTTCAAGCATTTATGTAAATACAACATATGGCTCTACTAAATAACCTTAAGATAGTTAAATACATATAACCTAAAACTTAGCAAATTATAAAAAGCAGTTGATTTCAGTGTTATTGATTAAATACTAGAAGTGAGTAAGGGAGAATGGAAAAAAAAAGTTATAGGGTTAGGACACAATGGGGTCAGCTAAGTAAGTATTGTTACTCAATAAAAAATGAGTTTAAGGCCCAGTTATATAAATACTGTTCTATTTCATATAGTTCAAAATTAAGAGTAAACTGCTTAGGGATACATAATTAGATAGTAAAGACATTAAGAAAGGCAAATGTAAATACTTTCATACTTGAGAGTACTTGGTAAGCTAATTCAGACAGCACTACTGTTTCTCAAAGAACTGGCAAACTGACCACACAAATGGTAGGCATAAGGCTGCTGGAAAAGGGTACATGGGTGCTATGGTTTGATTTTTGTCTCCCCAGGTTCATGTGCTGGAAACTTGACCCCCAACATAATAGACTTAGAAGATAGGGCTTAATGGGAGGTGTATGGGTCATGGGGGTACTGCCTCATGAATGACTTATCTCAGGAGTTGACTTCTTTAGACAACTCAAAGGATGAGTTTGCCCCCTCTTGCTCTCTCAAGCTTTCATTTTGCCTTTCTGCCTACTGCAACAGGATGATGCAGCATTAAAGCCCTGAACTCTCAATTTTGGACTCCACAGCCTCCAGAACTATTATGAGAAATAAATTTCTGTTCTTTTCTTTATACATTACCCAGTGTCAGGGATTCTGTCATGGCACCACAAAACAGACTAAGATAATAAGATGGAGGGGCTTCTGAAATGTGGTAATGCCCTATTTCTCAAGTGGTGAGGTTATATGGCTTTTGCCACTGAGAAGCTGAATTTTTATGATTTATGTATTTTAAGTGTTAATTGTATCTCACAATTTAAAAGTTAAAATTGAGCACTGTAGTTTAAGAATCTTCAGTAAATGCTACTTCTTTTTTTTTTTTTTTTTTTTTTTTTTTTTTTTTTTACATAGAGCCTCAAGCTATGCCCCTGGGTAGAGTGCTATGACATCACAGCTCACAGCAACCTCCAACTCCTGGGCTCAAGCGAGTCTCCTGCCTCTGCCTCCCAAGTAGCTGGGACTACAGGCGCTTGCCACAATGCCTGGCCATTTTTTGGTTGCAGCCATCATTGTTGTTTGGGGGCCCGGGCTGGGGATTCGAACCTGCCACCTTAGGTGTATGTGGCTGGCGCCTTAGCCGCTTGAGCCACAGGCACCGAGCCAGTAAATGCTACTTCTAATGTAGAATTAGGTGGCAAGATTTATTTCAAATCTGTTAACAGTGAAACGGTAACAATATACTATACCACAAATTTATTTATTTTTTAGAGACAGAGTTTCACCTTATCGCCCTTGGTAGAGTGCTGTGCCATCACAACTCACAGCAACCTCCAGCTCTTGGGCTTAGGCAACTCTCTTGCCTTAGCTTCCCGAGTAGCTGGGACTACAGGCGCCTGCCATAATGCCCGGTATTTTTTGTTTGTGGTCTGGCTGGGACCGGGTTCAAGAACCCACCACTCTCGGTTTGTGGGGTTAGTGCCCTACTCAGTGAGCCACAGGCGCCGCCCCTATATTACAAATTTAGACAGGTAGTACAGAAAAACAAAACCTTGATTAGCTCTTCAAAAAACCCTTCTGATATAAATGCATGAAGGTTATATCAAAATGGAGCTAGTAATGTTAAGAAAATCCAGACAGCCAGGAGCAGTGGCTCACACCTATAACCCTAACACTCTGGGAAACCAAGGTGAGAGGATTGCTAGAGCCCAGGAGTTTGAGACTAGCCTGAGCAAGAATGAAACCCCATCTCTGTTAAAAATAGAGAAATTAGGCCGGTGCCCGCAGCTCAGTGTGTAGGGCGCTGGGCTACATATACCAAGGCTGGCAGGTTCGAATACAGCCTGGGCCAGCTAAAACAACAATGACAACTGGAACAACAACAACAACAACAAAAAAAAAAGCCAAGTGTCATGGCATGTGCCAGTAGTCCCAGCTACTTGGAAGGCTGAGGCAAGAGAATCACTTAAGCCCAAGAGTTTGAGGTTGCTGTGAGCTGTGACATCACAGGACTCTATACAGGACAACAGCTTGCAAGACTGTCTCAAAAAAAAAAAAAATTTTTTTTTAAAATAAAAATAGAGAAATCAGTTAGGGGTCCATGGCAGGAGCCCATATTTCTAGCTACTTGGGAGGCTCAGCCCTAGAGTCTGACGTTGCAGTAAGCTATGAAGACACCACTGCACCTAGATGATAGTGAGACCATCTCAGAAACAACAACAAAAATCCTGACAAACAGAGTGGAAGAAAAGCCATTAAGTGAGGGTTCTCATGCTTATATGTCTGATAACAAAAGACTATAGAAACCATCACCTTACATAAAAACTTACATCACAAACTTACACAAAAAACATTTCTGCAAGGCCATATCCCTAGCAACTGCCCATCTAACCTTGAACTGGCATCACCTTTAATACTGATCTTTGTAACCAAGTATAATTATTTCAAACCAACTGTCATCCACTTTGCTTTTTTTTTTTTTTCCTTTAAAAGCTTCTGAACTCGGCGCCTGTGGCTCAAGTGGCTAAGGCGCCAGCCACATACACCTAAGGTGGTGGGTTCGAATCCAACCTGGGCCCGCCAAACAACAATGACAGCTGCAACCAAAAAAACGCCGGGCGTTGTGGCGGGTGCCTGTGGTCCCAGCTACTTGGGAGGCTGAGGCAGGAGACTCGCTTGAGCCCAGGAGTTGGAGGTTGCTGTGAGCTGTGATGCCACAGCACTCTACCCAGGGGGAAAGCTTGAGGCTCTGCCTCAAAAAATAAAAAAAAAATAAAAAAAAATAAAAGCTTCTGTGTCTTCCTTTAACTCCTGAATATGCACACAGTTTACTGTGGCTTATGCACTGTCACTGCAATGTTCTATTCACAAATGTTTTAGAGAGCCTCTCAATGTTACTTAGATTGACAAATGCTAAACTAAATTTATTTTAAAATAAGACAGTATTACCGTTTCTCCAAGATCTGGCAAACTGACCCCACAAACCAAATCAACATTGATATCCCAAAGGAAGTGGGAGGATTAACACAGAATAGAAGAATTCTTCTTCAAAGAACAGAGATAATATAAAAAGGAAGATGGGGTTTTCTTAATGTAACATGGCAAGAGCTAAGGGATGTTAGGCCTATTTGGGTATTTTTCTTATCAAGTAAGTAATTTCCTGAAAAGGAAAATAAAGATTTCACAGAGGAACCTGAATAAGCACTTTATTTGTGGCACCAAGCCCAGAACTGGGATAGGAAGAGGGAGGAATGACAAATATTTGTTGAATACTTAATAAATTTCAGGTACTGCTACAAAATTTACATTTCTGAAAAACAAATCAGATATTATTAATTCCTTTACAGTTTAAGAATCTTGGGTGCTGGCTCGTCGCCTGTGGCTCAAGTGGCTAAGGCCCCAGCCATGTACACCCAAGGTGGCAGATTCGAATCTAGCCAGGGCCCACCAAACAACAATGATGGTTGCAACCAAAAAAACGCCAGGCGTTGTGGAGGGCGCCTGTGGTCCCAGCTACTTGGGAGGCTGATGCAAAAGACTCACTTGAGTCCAGGAGTTGGAGGTTGCTGTGAGCTGTGATGCCATTGCACTCTAACCAGTGGGGCAACTTGAGGCTCTGTCTCAAAAAAAAAGAAAAAAAAAAAAATCTTGGGTGCTCAAACGCTACCGGTCAACATGTTTGACCACAAAACATGTTTTCTTCATTATGCACAATACTTCCTATCCAAATGCAAGTAGCTTTAGAGCATTTTGCTTTGCACTGATACTCATAAGACTAGAGATATGTTTGAAAAGAAAATCTAAAAACCAAAGTAGTAATGCGTTTAAGGTACAAATGAAAAAAGAAAGTTCACAGGATTCACACAGGATGAAGGGAAATGAAACCATGAATGACATACTGGAGAAATAAAAAGAATTATCTTGATATAAAAATCTCAAAATATAAAAGCATATATATTAGAAATAAAGTAAATAAAAACATAGTAAAGTAAATGAAAGAGGTGGAAAGAAAAAGAATAGGTGCTTAAGAGTGTAAGATTAATCACAAATTTCAGAATTTGGACACAGAAGATTGGTTAAGGAGGTGTCAGTGAGTTGGTCAGGGGACTAGTAATGCCTGCAACTTAATTGCCCATATAGATAGTAAAGTCATCCAGAATCCCAGCAGAAGTTAGAATAGTGGCAGGTGTCACAGTCAAGGAGTGGAATGAACTTCACAAATGAAAGCACAAGGACAGGCACTGTCAGGTCTCAAAGGAAAAACCACTCCTAAACTTGGTAGAAGCACAATAGTCTATAACTGGCAATAGGGAATGCAAAAAATGCCAAATGTTGTGAATTTACTGAGGGGCAAGGAAGCCAAGTCAGAATTTCCACTTGTAAGTATATAAAGGCGTGACAAGCCAGGCACAGTGGCTCTATAATCCCAGTACATTGGGAGGCAGAGGCAAGAGGATCACCTGAGGTGAAGTTTGAGATCAGCCTGGGAAACAATGTAAGACCTCATCTCTTGGCAGAAAAAAAAAAAAAGGCCAGGCATGATGGCATGTGCCTATAATCCCAGCTATGTAGAGGCTGAGGTAGACAGGAGATCACTTAAGACCAAATGTTCGAGGTTGCAGTGAAGTAAGGATCATGCCACTGTACACCAGCCTGGGCAACAGAATAAGATCCTGTCTCTTAAAAAAAAAAAGAAGAAGAAAATGAAGAAAAGAGGATTCAGCTAAAGGAAATATTTTGTAATAAAGGTCTTAGAACAGGAATACAGACAGAAATAAACATAGATGAAGGAGAATGGTGGTTGGGGGATGGCAGACAAACCAGGAACTGGAAGAGGGATGGACTAACAAAAATGAATGAAGGCACAGGTAACTGGGAATATATACCTAAGGCAGTGCTAGGAAAGATTAAGAGTCAAAGAGACTTGAGAATTAAAGGGTTACACAAGGAGTTAATTGCCCTCCAAATTCTGGATGTGTCTCAAGGAAAAAAAGAAAAATATGGGGCGGCACCTGTGGCTCAATGGGTAGGGCGCCAGCCCCATATATGGAGGGTGGCCAGTTAGAATCCAGCCCTGGCCAAACTGCAACAAAAAATAGCCGGGCGTCTGGCAGGCGCCTGTAGTCCCAGCTACTCAGGAGGCTGAGGCAAGAGAATCTCTTAAGCCCAGGAGCTGGAGGGTGCTGTGGACTGTGATGCCACAGCACTCTACCAAGGGCAATAAAATGAGACTCGGAAAGAAAGAAAGAAAGAAAAGAAAGAAAAGAAAGAAAGAAAGATGTTAGTTATGTCACTGATGAAAAGGGTTGCTTCGTTGGCTTCTCTGTGAGCCTTGATTTGACTAGTCATAGAAAACCTAGTCCACATTTTGCCTACCTTAGGATATTTCTCCAGGTGTCTTATCAGCTAACAGAATAGCTTGGAAATAGTTCTCAGTTAGCGATCACAGTACTATCATGCTCTGACAAGGTCATTTCCCCGCTTCCTTTTTTTTTTTTTTT